CTCTCCAGCCCCAAACATTTGTAAAAAGCAGTATATAGAACTAGCTATAGGGACACAAACTTTAATAACTGCATTTGGAATGTGAACACTGAGGGATCAGGAGTTGGTTCAAGGGCAACCATATCACAGGGGACCTGTCTCACAAAGCAGACACACAGGGTTAGTCCCTTTTCAAGCTTGGGTTGTGGATCCTGGTCACAAAGAATAAAAAATAGTATGTCCTCCTCAGTTAATCTTCTGATGGAGAAATGAGTGTTTTATGAGTTTGTTGCTGAAATCGGCAACTGTGTACCAGCAAGTCAAGCTTCCTATTCTTCAAAGCTGTCTCCATGTGTAACCCTGGCTGGCCTGGAACTCACGGAGAGCTCCTGTCTCTGTCTCATGGGTGTTAGAATTAAAACTGGTGCCATCATGTGCAGCAAGATCCTTTATGGAGAAATCCCTATCAAAGGAAATTATCATTTAAGAGTAAAATAGAGCATTCTTAGTTAAAGAAAAAGTAAAGGGAAACCATTGCTAACAGTCACCTGCATAAGAATTGCTGGGCTGGAGACATGGGTTAAGAGTGTGTATGGACCCAAGTGCCTGAGTCCAATTGCCAGCACCTGTCAGATGGCTCAAACACCTGTTACTCCAGCTCCAGGGGATCAGATACCCCTGACCTCTGTAGATACACTCAGGTGTACATCCTCCCCACCCCATAATTAAAAATGACAAAAAATAACTTTTTAAAAAGTTCCTGAAGTTCTAAATTGCTGAAGTTTACACGAAAGTAGTGAATGCCTGAGTAAATGCAATTGGCTACTTTCTTCCTTTGTGATGTTTTGTTATGCAAAGTGTCATGGTGTAGCCTAGACCAGTGACCTTAAACTCAGACTTCTGTTTCAGCCTCTTTAGTGCTGGGATTATAGACTAGGATTATACTACCACACCTGTTCTTCCTGAGTTCTTCAACTCGAGTTTGATTGCTAAGAACAAAAAGTATGCATCATATGCTGCCTTTTTAATGTATGTGCTTAGAATGTGAGGCAGCTGCTATTGTAAGAAGTGGGAAAAGAAAGGATCCAAGAATAAACGAACCTGTCTGGGAATGTAGCTCAGTGGACAAGCACGTGTCTAACGCATACAAGTCTCACGCTTCGATTCCCAGCGTAGGAAAAACAAGAGCCTTTATACACGCGGGGGATGGGAAGATGGCTCAGTGGATAGAGCACTAGTTACATAAGTTTGGGACCCATGAGGGCAGGCATGGAGACCATCTACAATGCTACACTGAGGAGGCAGACAGGGTTCATGCTATACCCCATCTGTCCTCCACCTCTACCTCCCATCTCCACCTCTACCTCCTAAATGCTGGGGTTAAGGTGGGTTACAGGTGTGAGTTGCCATACCCATTTTTTATTGTTTTCTAATATGTGCATTTATGTCTTATACATTTCCTTTTTAATCGAGGCATGGCTGTCTATGCCCATAATCCCAGCATAGGGGAGACACAGAGTTCAAGGCTCACTTGGTGTGATCCACATAGTGATTTCTAGGTCAGTTGAGGCTGTGTTGAAACTGTTGGAAAAGCCAATAAAAATAAACATCAGTGCTGCTTCAGTTGTGCTTGATATTTCATATTATTTTCAGTGTATTCCTAAGAGAAATTCCCTAGAGGAGCTGTGGCGCATCTCAGCAGCAGAACACTTACGTAGCATGACTAAGGCCCTGGGCTCATCCCGGCACTGTAGGAAAGAGCTCAGGTCGGGAAGATGCGTACCCTTCCAAGGAAAGGAACAGAAACAGGAGAATTCCCCTGACCTGTGAGTTACTTAGAAGTGTGCTAACTTCCAGTCATTTGGAAATTTTTCTCATCTGTAACTGATTTATTTGATTATTTTGTGGTCAGATCATTCTACATAATTTCAGTTCTTTAAATTTGTTGAGATTTGTTTCATGGTCAGCATAAGGTTTATCTTGGTCGTTCTGTGGGTTCTTGAGACGAACATATTTTGACTGTTGGGTGGAGCGTTCTATAAAGACCTACCAGTAACGTGGCTTTTTGGTGGTGGCTGTAGGCCACCATGTGGTCTTTATGGTGTTTTGTTTTGTTTTGTTTGAGACAGGTCTCACCCTATAGCCAAGGCTGACCTCAAACTTACGCCAGTCTTGCTTTGGTGTCCCTTCTTTACGGTGTGTAGTATGAGCCACCACTTCCGGCAGCAGCGTCTTAAGTTTTAAGAGCATCATGCTGAGTGAAAACAATCGGCGTCACTACTACACTTACATTCATGCTTATTGGAGCACCATTCACAATAACTCGGTTATGGAACCAGCCTAGATGCCCATCAACAGATGAATGGATAGAGGAAAAGTGATACATCTACCCAACAGAGTTTTATTCGATCTTAAGATGTGAAAGTAAGCTAGGCAATAGTGGCGCACGCCTTTAATCCCAGCACTCAGGAGGCAGAGGCAGGTGGATCTCTGTGAGTTCAAGACCAGCCTGGTCTACAGAGTGAGTTCCAGGACAGGCTCCAAAGCTACAGAGAAACCCTGTCTTGGGGGAAAAAAAAAAAAAAAGATATGAAAGTAGAAAAGTCCTAGGGCTGTGGGTTAAGAGAGGAGAGTAAGGGACCTGAGGGAGCCGGGTAGAGGGAGGATGGACGGATGGACCAGCGGGAGGCAGAGGGCTACAGTAAGAAAGGTGATGGTGGACGAAACGAGACCTGGGCTCGGAGCTGTGGACCATCACTTTATATGTGCTAAAATGTCAAAGGTCATATAACGTATAGTTCCATTTTCCTAGCATTAATAATGTCACAAAAGTATAAATTGGAAAACAAGTAAGGGACTCCCAGGAGACTGAAGGCAGAAGTGGTAGATGTGACCATTAACAGATGAAGGTAGTCTTTGTGGTAATGGAATAATTGTAAACACTGACATGAGATGATGGTGCTATAAAAACCATCTGATGAACTATTCTAGATCTGTGGGCTCATGTGCTTTGCAGATTTCTTAGGGTACCACCACACATTAAGGGAAAAATAGATGGAGTACAATCTGTATACTACCATTAAAATTTAGTTCTTGTGAAACTGTTAGCTCAAGATACAATGCCTTGTAAAAATATTTTCTCTTTTTAAAGAACTTATTTTTTGATCTATGTATATGTGGAAGGGAGGTGGGCATATGCAAATGTATGTGCAGATGTCAGAAGATGTCGCTTGCTCTGGAATTGGAATGACAGGCTGCCTGACATGAGTACTGTGAACCAAACTTGGGTCTTCTAGAAGGACAGGGAGTGTTCTTCACTATTGAACCATCTCCCAGCCTCTACAGAAATAGTTTTAAAGCCATATGTAAACACAGCATAAGTTCAAACAATCTGTAGTAATTGGAGAGGGAAATGTTTGTGTTATGGTTTCATGTAGCCGAGGCTGGCCTTTACCCTATGTAGCTGAGCATGACTTTGAACTGGGTTTCTTGTCCCAACCTCCAAAGTACTAGAATTATAGATATGCACCACTGTGTCTCATTTATATGGCAACAAGTTTGAACTCAGGCCCTGCCTGGTGCGTGCTAGGCAAGCATTCTACCAGCTAAGTCATACCCCCAGATCCCACTTGGACCTCTAAGGCTGCTGGCATCAGTATTTAACACTGCTAACACATTCAGGAAGGTAAGACAATCAGTTATTTGTCTTATCTAAATTGTCATGTCAACAAAGTAGAAAATTATGCTTATTAAAAAGACAAGACTCCTGTGCCTCACCCTCAAGACTACAAACCCCAGAACAGTCAAGACCCATAGGAGCAGTGAAAAACCTGGGTTTGTATCCTACTATTTGTATGGGGCTGTCCTTGTTCCTACCATTTCATCTACTCTGATTTTTGTGATTCTAAATTATAAATGCACAGAAGTATATGTATCTGAATGTGGATTCTAGCTGAAGGAGTGTGGCCATCAACAGCAAGTGAATTTTAAGCTCAAGCTGGACAAACTCACTAGTTCTGCACAGGCCGAGCTTCTGAATAGCACTACTTTTGGCGATGCTTTTCTAATCTCTGTTGAAAGTATAGATCAGATCTCCCTTCACAAATGTCTATGCAGAAGTTAGTCATCATTGAGTAACAGTCTCACCATGTGCTCAGGTACCCCGTAAGGACATTTAAATCCCCTAACCCTCTGTGACTGCTCTATTCTTACTTCTGCTGTTGAAGAACCTGGGCTTTGCTTGGGTAACTTGAACAAGTAGTATTTCTGCAATTTGAGACCAACACATTCCAGAGCTAAAGCTGGTAGGTATATTAACAAATATGTTTCACTGTGTGTGTGTGTGTGTGTGTGTGTGTGTGTGTGTGTGTGTGGTCATCATCCCGCTTGGCAGCAAGTCCTTTCACTGCTGATCCATCTCACTAGTTCCCTTTTTTAGCATTAGTAAAGCCTTCTTCAGTAGCAGCCAATAGAAGTGCTATTAGTATTCTCTAATTATACTTGAATCTTATTGTTTCTAAGTGTCTTCAAGAACCCGGAAGCAGGGTGATCATTTTTGTTGAATCTGCAAACCAAAGGCCAAGGTGCTGAAGCCTTTGTTCTCTTGTAACTCTCTGATATGATTATCTCATCTCGGGAATATGTCCCCATTGTGATAAAGGACTGGGTAGCAAACAGATGCTCTTTAGATGTAAATGAATCTAGCATTGGGATTATCCGCTGTGTAGCTAGGCAAGCCCCTAAGATCACAGTGGAAGACACAGTGAAAAGGTTCTAATCACTCTGTAGATTATACAAAGTTTCAGTTCCTCTAAAGATGATTACATAGTTAGAGTAAAACAAACAGCCCCACACACACACAAGTTCAAAAATGTAATTTTTTTTATTTTTATTGAAGCCAAGGAATTTTACTCCAAATTATAAATATGTTTAATGACTTAAAAAAAAATCAGCCTGGCTATCATAGGTTCATGTTACTAAGGAATCTGGTAAATTGGTCTGATTTTGTCTTCTCTTTACAGGAATATATCAAAGGGCTCTGTGAGCCTGAACTGGAAGAAAGAGAATGCTACCCCAAGGCCATGCACTGCATTTTTGTTGGGGCACAGAGCCTATTTTTAAAGAGCCTAATTCAGGATACTTGTGCTGACCTCTGCATTTTAGACACGGGACTTCTTGGCATCAGAGGAAGCGCTGAGGCTGTGGTCATGGCCAGGAGTCATATTCAGCAGTTTGTGAAGCTCTTTGAGAATAATGAGAATCTGCCCAGTAGTCAGAAAGAGTCGGAAATCAAGAGGGAATTCAGACAGTTTGTTGAAGCTCATGCAGACAATTATACAATGGATTTGTTGATTTTGCCTACTTCCTTAAAGAAAGAACTACTGAGTCTCACACAGGGGGAAGAGAATCTGTTTGAAACAGGAGATGATGATGTCATTAAAATTGGAGATGTGCAGCCATCAGAGTTGACACAGAATGCTGCCACAGGACCTAGTATTGCTGGAGATGAAATAGTTTTACAGGAAGATTCCAGAAGTAAAGCTCGGACCCCCGTTTCTGAGCTTACAAAGCAAATGGACGCAGTCTTATCTAGCTCAGCAGATGTGCTCTTTGTCCCAGTAAATGGTCTAAGTCCAGATGAAGATGCACTTTCCAAGGACAGAGTTTGTCACAAGAGGAGGTCTTCTGATGCAGAAGAAAGGCATACCAAGAAGCAGTTTTCCTTGGAGAATGTTCCAGAGGGGGAGCTTGTGCATGATGGTAATGCATCGGCTGGAAATGAAATCATTGACTTGTCTGATGATGCTTCTAACGCTCCAAACCTGAGCCCTGATGGAAAAGACACTACAGAAGAAATGGAATACAATATCCTTGTAAACTTCTTTAAAACCATGGGCTATTCCCAAGAGATTGTTGAAAAGGTCATTAGGGAGTATGGCCCTTCTACAGAACCGTTACTGCTCTTGGAGGAAATTGAGAAAGAGAACAAAAGGCTCCAAGAGCCTTGCACTGCGCATCCAGATGCTGCTCAGAGCAGAAGTGCGGGTGTTGGGAGCAGCACAAATGAGCTCATTACAGATTCTACTCCAAAGAAAACACAGAGTCACACAGAGCAAAATATGGTGGAGAAATTCTCCCAGTTACCGTTCAAAGACTCTAAACCGTGTACCTCAAATTGCAGAATTAATTCTTTCAGAACAGTACCAGTAGGACAGAAACATGAGATGTGGGGCTCACCCCAGAACTACAGTTGTAATGTCGACCTTGAGACCGACGGCCTCTCACCCTCTGTTGCCTCTTCCAGTCCTAAAGAAGTCAGCTTTATTTCAAGGGGACCCGCAGGTCACCAACAGAGAAGCCCAACTCTTCCTGAAAATGGTTTTCAACAAGTGGAACCCTCACTTCCAAATAATACGAAGCCTGCCTGTGAGAAACGTTCTGGCTGTTGTAACTCTCAGCCTAAGCCAAATTATCCCCCCCTTTCTCCACCGATGCCACTGCCCCAGCCCCAGCTGTTACCCTCAGTTACTGATACACGGTTGGCAGGATCCTCTGATCATATCGATTCCTCAGTTACAGGGGTTCAAAGATTTCGAGATACCCTGAAAATACCATACAAGCTGGAATTAAAAAATGAACCAGGGAGAGCAGATTTGAAGCATATTGTTATAGATGGGAGTAATGTTGCAATTACGTAAGTCCACTCTGCAAATTATTCTTGCCTAGCTCTCTAAGCAGTGTCTGAGAATTGTATGTGAGTGTGTGTATGTGTGTGTATGCATGTATGTGTAGATTGCTCTGTGTGCTGTAGTGGATCTGTACCTTTCTAAGTTGCCCAGGCCAGCTAGCCAGGCTATCTGCAGATTTATAATCTACCTACCTTAGCCCTGATAGTGCCTGTATTCAGGCATGAGAAATTAAATACTGGGACATATGTTTATTTTATGTGTATGAGAGTTTTGTCTGCATGTTTATGTGTCTACCACATGCATGCCTGGTGTCCATGGAGGCCAGAAGAGGGTATTGGATCCCTTGGGACTAGAGTTACAGTTGTGAGCCACTGTGTGGGTTCTGGGAGCTGAACCCAAGTCCTCTGCAAGAATAGCAAGTTCTCTTAACTGCTGAGCCATCTTTCCAGCCACTTCTATTTGTTCTTCTTTTTTTAACGTACATGCATGTATGTTTGTGTGACTGCATCCCACATGTGTGTGGGTACTTGAAGAGGCCAGACAAAGGCATTGGATCCTCTGGAGCCAGAGTTACAGGCAGTTGTGAGCCTTCCTCTGTTGATGTGGGAACTGAACTCAGCTTTACTTACTTAATCATTTAGTTATTTTACTATTTTGTCTATTAAAATTTACAAAGAAATATAACAAGAAGCTATGGTGACACTCCATGGGTTTAGTCATTCATCCTCAACAGTTGCTAGTTCATGACCAATCTTGTTCTATCTGCATTCTTACCTACCACTTTAAACCCACTTTTCTGCGATTTGACTTGATTTGATTTTTCTTTGCTTTATTCTGTCAATTTTCCCTGTGGTGTTGGGGGTGGAGGTTCTTGTGTGTGTTGGGCAAGTACTCTGCTGCTGAGCTCCCCCTAGCCCTTAGTGTACTTGAAAGGAAATCTCAGATACATATTTCATCCATAAGTGCTTCAGGATGTGTCTCAGGTACATTCCATGTTGTTTTCTGAGGTTATTTACTACTCAGAGGAAGGCAGGGACTTTGTATCTTGGCAGCTGCCTTCCTCATGGTGGCGAGGATTCTGGCTCAGTTCCTCTCCCTCCCTCCCTCCCTCCCTCCCTCCCTCCCTCCCTCCCTCCCTCCCTCCCTCCCTCCCTTCCTCCCTCCCTCCCTGGATGTATGTGTGTCTGTCCTTTTCTTGATGAACTCTGCGACCTGCTTGGTCCTTGGCTACACTGAGCAGCATCAGAGCTCACTGCTGATGGGAGCAAAGCCACACACCTCTTAGGTCACGTCCCATATGAATTTGGTGTGCTTGGTGAGATGCCTCCAGCAGCAACTGTGCCTAGCTTGCCCATGTTGAAGTCCTCGGCCATAGGGTAGCACAGAACCATGACTGCTGACAGCAGTAGGCTATAGGAGTGGATGCCAGGCCCATTTTGGTCTTCTCTGGTGCCTTAAGCTTGCTTACTGTCCTCCAGCCCACCCTTTAAGTCTGCCCTGACAGCTCTCGGTGTATAGCTTTTGTTTTGGAACAGGGTCTCACCATGTAGCCCTGGTCTAGAACTCGCTGTGAAATCCAGGCTGCCCTTAAACTCACAAAAGATCCATCTGCCTTCTAAGTGTTGGGATTGTAGGCATGCGCCTCCACAGCTGGCCTGTTTGTTTTGAGGCCAGGATAGCCCTTGCTGGCCTGCTATGTCTACTAGGCAGGTCCCAAAGTCATGAAGATCCTCCTCCTGTGTCTTCCAAGTGCAGTGCTTTAAAGGTGTGTGCTACCATGCTTGACAGTGTGGAATTGTACAAGCCTAAGCATTGTTTTGCTTTTCTTTAAAAAAAAAATAAATTATTGATTGTATGTTTACATTTTGCTGTTAAAATGTAAAAGAAGTGCCACCATTTTAGGTATAGAAGTTTTGGTGCTTTGGCTGTATATAGCTTTGTTGGTAGAATGCTTGCCTAGCATTCATGAAGGCCTGGGTTTTATCCCATGCACTATATAACAGGGCTTCATAGTCCCATCCTGAATTCCAACCTTGGGAAGGTCAAGGCAGAAGGGTCAGAGGTTGAAAAATGTCAAGGCGGGAAGTAAAACTGTAGTGCCCGTATCTTCATTTCCAAGTAGTACTGCCTATTATCATCTTACTTTGGTTTTTGGCAACTCTGTTGGGGGAAACCTGGTGAATGCCCACAGCTACCTAGATTTATCTAAGTAAAACTGTAAGAGCTCTTCAGGTACCTGTAGTCCAAAACTGGTTCTAGTTCCTCTTTGTTAGTTCTTAAGCTAAGCGATGACATGTTGTTTAAGTTTTGGTTTTGAGGAATGTTAATTTTACAAAAATCTTTCTAATGTGAAAAGATTTCTCAAATTGATGTTCAAGCAATAAGAACACAGATGAACATGATAATGACGTTTGTGTGTGCATGCTGTATGTTCATGAGTATATGTGTGTGCATATGGAGAGCAAACGTTAATATTGGGTGTCTTCCTCTATTGCTTCCTACCTTGGTTTTCTGCTTGTTTTCGTTTTGTTTTGATTTTGTTGTTGTTTTGAGTTAGGGTCTTTCACTGAACCTGGAGTTCACCAACTTGACTAGATTAGCTGGTTAAGGAGCTCCAGGGTTCCTCCTGTCTCTTCACTAGTACTAGGATTGCAAGCGTGTGCCACCAGCTTCACTTTTTACATGGGTTCTGGGGATCTGAACTCAAGTCCTCATGACTTTACCAACTGATCCATCAACTTTTGGTGTAGTAACTAGAGTCTCTTAACAGTGGTCAATATTAGAATGTACAGTGGTGCTGTTTGACCATTGCAGGATGAATTACGTATCTGATCCCTTCCACTTTGACCATAATGTACCTTCCCAGACACGTAACAACCCAAAACACTGCCTCATATTTCCTGAAACTCTTGGATATAGTGCTGTTGCTTTTGAAAAACAATTATTATCACTTACAGCAAGTATGCAAGCTTTTAGTAGTATATACTTTAGTTTTATATTTATTTACTGTGTGGGGTGTCTTTATGTCTGGGTATATGTATGCTATATGGAATAGCAGACAGCTGTGAACCCTCTGACATGGGTTCTGGGAACTGAACTCAGTTAAGAACAGCAAGTACTCTTAACTGCTGAGACGAATTATTTTTATCCTTATTACATTAAACATTATTTTATTTACATATGGGTGGGGGTACAGGAAGGGTTTTGCACGTGCATTCTGGTGACCGTAGAGGTCAGAAGAGGGTGTTGGATCCCTGGAGCTGTGGTTGCAGGTGGTTGTGAACTGCCTGACCACGGTGCTGTTCCTCTGGAAGAGCAGCTAGTGCTTCTAATGAGCCAGCTCTCCAGTCCACTTATTAGTTTTGAAAACTGATTATTTCTGAAGGATTTGACTTTTCTTCAAATTTACTGATGTGTGTGTTTAAGAACAACACTTTAAAAGGGGATGTTACTCTAAGATGTAGTTGTACTTAATTAAACATAGATTCACCCAAATGTTAGTGTCTTAGGGTTGCTATTGCTGTGAAGAGACATCATGTCATCATGGCCATGGCAGCTCTTACAAAGGAAAACATTTAACTGGGGATGACTTGCAGTTCAGAGGTTTAGTCTGTTATCATCATGGTGGCATGCAGGCTGACATGGTGCTGGGGCAGTTGAGAGTTCTACATCTTGATCCATAGGAAGCAGGAAGAGAAACTAACTTGAGCATCTGGAACCTCAAAGCCCATCCCTTAGTCACACTCCTCTCCAACAAGGCCACGCCTGTTCCAAAGCAACACCTCCTAACAGTGCCGCTCCCTATGGACCCATGGGGGTCATGTCTATCCAAACCACTACAGTTAGTAAACAAGGTGAACCCTTTTTCTTGGTGAGGAAATTGCCAGTCGGGGTAGGGCTTAGTTCTGAGTTGGGAAGTCCTGTGGGCTGCACAGCACTGGGGACTAAGTGCTCCGAGGACTCACCTCTGAAAGTCCCAAAGGAGGGGGAGGACTGACTCCCGCACATACCATCCGTTTCACTCCTATTAGTGAGTTCAGGTAGACTGTTCCACCGAACTACCCTCAGCTATGGCGGGTTTCCATAAAGAGCTGCGGAGTGAAAGACTGGAACTTTTTCACTGGCTTTTGCCACCACTTGTGACTTCTGACACAATTGCCATTCTGATCACCAATTTGGATTACATAAGCTTTTTGGCAATAAGGATTGAACTTTGGTTCTTAGACATACGAGGTAAATAAATGCTCTACTTCTGAGCTTCATTCTCAGCCTAGTATATCATCATCATTATTTTGTAATGCAGTCTTCATACTAGTTTCTTGGAACAAGAATTGGGTATAACTTATATAACATGAAATTACATGAACTTTGTCCAGGGTCACACCTAGACTTGGGACCTTGTCTTCCTCCCAGACTTGGACTGCCTATGTCTCCCACGGAAGTTGAGGTTTGGAATGTTCAGACCTTGTTGTCATTGGACACATTAGTGCTTCTGAGTGGCCCTGACCCTTACGGCACAGCTGAGTGCTATGGTAGTTTAGAAGGAAATCCAAGGCCTGCAAGAGTAGGGTCTATTGGTGTCAACTACCGAAAAGCAGTCCCCTCACACCTTCCCTGGATTGCTGTCTATTTGGTCCAGCATGATGTCTGCAGCTCATATACCATGAAAAGTACCAAAATACCTGCCTTATGCTGCTGTTATGTGGGTTTTCGGCTCATTTTCCCCCTTGTCACCATGAATGAGTCAAGTGATGAGTCAGTGGAAATGTTTGCGGTGTCTGGCTCAACATCACAGTGCTGGCTGAAACTCCAGCGAGAGAGCACCTGACTGGTCTCCTTTGGTGATTTTCCGTGTAGATGGGGTTTGCCCATTTGCTTGTCAGAACTGTGCATTCTATCCACTTTGCTTGCCGGTCTTTCTATAGCAGTCCACGACTATTTTTCTTAAGTAGAAGCTAGAAGGAAACTATGCTTTCCTGGTTAATTCAGAAAGGGCTTTCCGAAGTATTTCCCCACATATCTGTCTGGCTTGACGACCACTGCTAGCTAGCTATTATCACCCAGCTCCCCTCTGTTTTAAACATGTTGACTGGCTGCTATAATGTGAAAAATAGTCAGGTAATCTAACTTGTTTCTAGAGGCATGGAACAGGAGTTCAAATCTCCCTGGAGAGCTGACACCTACTCTCCAGGCTCAGTGGAACTGGGGTCTATTTGGAGCCCCAAAGTCTATGTACTTTGAATATATGTCCTCTAGGGCAGGGCAGACCACTGATCTGCACTTCCCTGTCCACCAGCCTCTCTACTGCAGAGACCGGAAGCAGCAAGGATTAAGCACACTGTATTCAGCCAGAGTATAGGCTCAAAAGTAATGTTCTTACTGGACTATTTAATATTATGACAAAAGTTTGGCTCTTCTTTTTTTTTTTCTCCCTCCCTGGTACTGAGAGTTAAACTCAGACCACACACATGCTATATTGGTCACACCCCAGCCCTCATTTCCTTTTTCTGTAGTTTTATTTTCTAGATAAATCTATATTCTCTAACCTGAACCTTGAACACTGTTTTTTAACTCCGGAGTCTTCAGAGTGAAAAAAAATACTGTAATCTTACCATAGAGAACACTGAAAACTGGTGCAACATTGGTGCTTCTGGACTTTAAACTATTTGCACCCACACACACACACACACACACACACACACACACACCAAGCTTGTAAGAAGCCCAGGATAGCAGAATTCCTCCTGTCTGCATTGCCTCCTTTTCTTCATTGACCCAGCAAGCAGAGCTTGGAGCGCTGTAGGCATCCACTCCTGCTGTTGTGGTCAGCAGGAGCTTTTAAGGAGAGGAGGACGAGCCTGTTAGCTGGAACGAGCAGGCGGGCGTGCGAGCTCTTGGTTTGGGTCTTCATGTTAGAACTGGCTGCCTTAACTCGAGTGATACTTACCCTTTAAAAACATCAACAGCAGCCGGGCGGTGGTGGCGCACGCCTTTAATCCCAGCACTGGGGAGGCAGAGGCAGGCGGATCTCTGTGAGTTCGAGGCCGGGCTGGACCGACAGCCTCCAAAATAATACAGAGAAACCCTGTCTCATAAAACCAAAAAAAAAAAAAAATCAACGACAGTTACCCCTTGTTTTCACCCAGTCACAGGTGTCATGCTGGTACATCCTTGCCATATCAGCAGTGGGTTTATCCGCCTGCATGTGTTTTCTGGGATTATGATCTGATGGTTTCTTTTCTTTTTTCTTTTTGGTTTTTCGAGACAGGATTTCTCTGTGTAGCACTGGCTGTCTTGGAACGTGATCTATAGACTAGATTGGCCTTGAACTCAGAGACGCAGGCCTGCCTTTGCCTCCTGAGTGCTGGGATTAAAGGTGTGCGCTGCCACTGCCCTGATGACAGTTTCTTTTTTATGAGTCTCTGAGAAAGAGTGGGTTTTATCCTCTAGCAAAGAGAGCTTGTGAGCTACTCTTGGCTACCTCATGACAACTTAGCTGTTTATATCCAGTGCTTCCTACTCTCAAGGGTCAGGGATGCAGATGGGCTTTCACTATGCTGTGGAATAGTGGAAAGGCCCTAGCCAGGTATGGGGGATGAGTCTGCCCCAGAACACCCACTCTCTGGCTACACACCCAGATAGGCCACTCTGTCATGCACCACACAGTAGAGGGTAGGAAGTGAGAAGACAGGAAGGCTGGACTGAGCCCTCAGAAGGCCTGGTGGAGAAGGTACACGAGGAGACTTAGCAACCAAGAGGGGTGGAAACAAGACCACCCAAGAGCAAGGGCTGCTGGGATGCGTGTTACGGAAAGTTTGCCTTGGCTTGCTCTCTCTGACCTGTCAAATGTGGAGGGGACTGGAAGCCAATCCTATCAAAGGATGTGTGTGGGAAGGACACCTGTCCTCCACCTCTATTTAATTACCTGAGACAAAAAAATGAAGGGTTATTTTTTTTTGTTGTTGTTGTTGTTATATTGGTTTACTTATTATTTTATGTGGTGTATTGTGGCACTTTTGCCTGCGGAGCCGTATAACCAACTGATTTTCTTTTTAATGTGTATGAGTGTTTTTCCTGCATGTATGTGTGTATAGCATATACATGCCTGGTCAGAAAACAGCTTCTGACCTGCTGGAACTGGAGTTACAGATGGTTTGAGTCACCATGTGAGTGCTGGCGATCAAACCCATGCCCTTTTCAAGAGTGACAAGCACTCTTAAGCATGAGCCATCTCTCTTGCGTGTGTGTGTGTGTGTGTGTGTGTGTGTGTGTGTGTGTGTGTGTGTGTGTGAGTGTGAGTGTGTGTTCTGTACCAGGAAGTCACACACTGGGCTGAGTGCAGCCCCATTTCTGTCTTATGAGTAGGAACTCAGCCATATTTGTCATCTACAGCTGTGTGTGGCTGTTGTCACATTGCTGTGGCAGAGTTGAGTGGTGAGACAGTAACCACAGTGACATTTACAGATTGACAGGTTCTAGCCTGTTTCTTACATGCTTACCTTTTTCCTGCTTTCTGCTTCATTCAGTGCAGTCTTCATGGTCCTAGTTAGTTTCATTTGAATCTTTTTTTCAATTTGTTTTTTCTAAGTTTATAAACTTGGGAGGTCTTCCGTTCCCTGAAAAGTGGGTGGTGCACCCACTCACCCTCCAGAGCTAGCAGTGATGTAGGGCTCTTTGGTAGTGGCAGTAGGGTCACATCTTTATTCCTGTCCTCAACCGTAGGCAGGCACAGCACAGGCATTATCACAGCTACTGACTGTTTTTACTCGAGCAACAAATTCTGTGATGAAATCCACAAGAAATTTTTAGAAGTACTGGCAATGGAGCTCAATGGTAGAGTACAAGCCTAGCGTGTGTGAGGACCTGGCTTTGATCCCTTACACAAACAAGCAAAAAACCAAAAAACAGTAGCAAAACTCCACCAGGATAGTCACTCAATCACATTAGGCTAGCTGTGGAAGTATACAGCTGTGATTTCAGACGTCAGGAGGCTAAGGCAGAGGGTCACATGCTCTTGCCAGCTTCAGCGGCATACAAAGACCACATCTCAAAAAAAAAAAAAGAAGATACAATTCTTAGAGGCCAATGATTAGACAGAACTTAGAAATAGTAGTAGTTTTTTTCCAATAGAATATACTTTAAACCCCCATGATAATAAACAAATATTACAGCAAGCCCAGTGTGCCCAGTTTGCTAAACACAAAAAAAAAGACCTAAGACTCTAAGACACTGGAGGAGTCTGTCAACAGGTTTAACTTGGCTTCGCAAAGTAGCAGACGGTACAACTTCGAAAAGTAAAAGCAGTTTGTATTGTTTCTGTTGTGTGTGATTGCTCTTTTCTGTGGTAAAGCTTAGACTTTACCTCGACTTTAACCTGAATGAAATTGTGCTTGTTTCCTTCCAGCCATGGCCTGAAAAAGTTCTTTAGTTGCCGTGGAATAGCAATTGCAGTTGAGTACTTTTGGAAGCTTGGCAACCGAAACATCACTGTGTTTGTCCCACAGTGGAGAACAAGGCGCGATCCTAATGTCACAGGTGAGGCCCAGTGACTTTTCCAGACTTCTGGCTGGATAGTTAGTTAACTGGCTTTACACTGCAACACAGGGTACCTAGGATGGAGTCACTCATGGGCAACAACTTGAACGACAGCATTCTCCATTGGTTCTGGTCTGGTAAAGGATCAACTGAAAACTCAGTGTGGTCGTGCACACCTGTAAGATCAGCACTCGGGACAGAGCAGGAAGATCAGAGCCATCCTTAGCTACACCGGAGGATTTTTGAGGCCAGCCTGGGATAGACGCCTCTCAGTTGAGGGGCTGTTGGAAAGTGCCTGTCTCTACTGGGTTGGGCTTCTGAGTTTTTAAATGGTACTTTTAATAGTTGCTTGCTCAGTTTTGCACCTTCAGATCTGTCCTCTCAGTAGTCTGATGGCTTACAGGAATCATTTCTGTTTGCCCTATGGTACTTGTGTATAACCAGAGGCCCCACACAAAAGGTTGGAACTTACTATATCGTGAAGTTCTTCAGAGAAACTTAAGTCATCATAGAAAAGCAGGTGAAAATACTGTGACAGGCATAGTACGTAGCGCACCTAGAAAGGAAGGTGAAACGGGAGTAGAGGCCGAGTCTTTTCTAGATTTGTCCAGTACGGAAACAGGAAGTGAGACTTAGTTCCTAGGAGGTGTAAGTGCTGTGGCCACTCCACTCCAGAATGTTCCCAGCTTCCTTTATCTGGGAGAAGATGCTATAACAGAAGATCACAAGGAGCGAGGCAGAGTCACTCATTTCTAGCTAAGTCTCAGCACATATGCACTGGGCAGCTCTGAGGAGGGGAACCCCCAGCTTGGCCAGGTCAGCTCAGCTTCTCTCGCCTGTGATTGCCTTCCCACAGTGCAGCATAGGCCCTCCATTATGTCACTGCTGCGCCTGCGAAAGTCAATAAATACTTGCACAGACAACTACGAGTGGTTAGCAGAGGAGGACGCTACACGCAGACTGGAGAGTGTTCACAGCCTTTCTTGACTGGAGCAAAGTGGTCTGTTCCTGCTACTGCCTCTGCCTCCAGAGGCTCGCCCCTCCCCGCTCCCACTCTTTTGGGGACCCTTGTCATTTCTCTTTTTGTATTCTACTTGTATATATACTTTTGGAAAAGTTCTTGGGGGCAGGATTAATTAATTACAGGCTATGGTTTAGTCTCAAGAGGCAAATGCATTTAACATTGTTTGTTTGGTTGTTTGGTTGTTTAAAAACTACCAGTCACTTCATGTGTAGACTTTGCCTGAGTGTGAGTCTTACTTGATTTTTTTGTTTTTCCTTCTTTGTCTGGTGAGTTAGTAAAATTGAGTCAGTAGGAAAAAGGTTTCTGCGAGTCCCCAAGTGAAATATTTGGGTTTGTATTCATTTATTTATACATCTTGGAAGATAACCTTTGCTGAATATATATCAACTTCTTCCACGAACAGAACAGCACTTCTTAACTCAGCTCCAAGAGCTTGGAATATTATCTTTAACTCCTGCCCGGATGGTCTTTGGAGAAAGAATTGCTTCTCATGATGACAGGTATGAAGGGCTGTTTTCCTTCCAAGGTGGGAATGGCGTGGAAAGGAGCCATCTCCCTGCCACTAAGCAGGTGTAGACTCTGAAGGGACCTGCTTGGCTCAGTTTGAAAATGTGATCAAGGTCACTGCTAAGCTTATATACCTATGAAGTTAGGAGTGACACAGAAGACACTACTGTGCTAGGTTTGGTTTTGTTTAAAATTTATAAGCGTTTCTGAGGTGAGAAAAGGCAGATACATGTAGTGGGGTTTTTGGTTTCACCATGCATCTGTGGCCTAGTGTTCACTATGTAGATCATAGGCCAGAGTAGATCTGTCTGTTTCAGGCTAGCCAGGGTTACATGGTAAAATCCCCAGAAGGAGAAATTTGATTTCAAGCTTATCCGTTGATATGTAGGTTTTACAACCCCATTCTCGTGTTGTTATGTAAGTAGTAGCAAGCTTGGTGTGGGACCCTCGGGCTGTCTGTTCCTTGTCTGCATTACTCTGTCCTTTTCCACAGTCCTCCCAGTGAAGAAACTTGCCCATGCTGGCATGTGGTTGAATGGGAAAGAGGTGATTTCGGCCACAGCAGACATTCACGCTTCACTCACAGGAAAGGGATGGGGTTAGATGGGGTGGATCCAAGGTGCTGTCAGACAGTGTGAAGAGAGCTGAGAGAGGGCAACCATGGTTTGGCGACGTCCTGGGGATCTGTCCTGAAAGGGCAGTTCTTGTCAGCGCTGTCACGGGCTCAGGAACCCTGCATTGCTCAGATGAAATAGTAGTCAGACCAGGAAAAGCCTTCAGGTCTCTACCACCTAGCTTTCTTCTCACAGCCAGGGGTTCAAATCCAGAAACAGACATGCAGATGAAGCTTTTGCTTGGCCTGTGTAGCTCTCTGGGCATCAGAGAACACAGATGTGTGCCCTGGTATATAGGATGAGAACCCTCACTCTCTGCTTTTATTGGCATCAGGGCAAATAGCACCTAAATGTTCATTAATAAGAAACTCAACCCAGTGGGTGGCTCAAACCTGTAATCTCAATTTTAGAGGGAGGCGCAGGAGGATCAGAAATCAGAGCCATCCTCAGTTACATAGTGGATTCTAAGCTGTCCTGGGGGGGTCATAGTTGGAATCAGTTTTGTAGGATTAGATTGCATGGAAAAAAGTTGTTTTATAATCACACTAATAATTCCAGAGATATAATCACACTAATAATAAAAAAGATGTCATTTTACCCATCTGCAGTTGACAGGGACCTAATTTCTATGTGTCCAGCCTTGTTTAAACTGGCTATTTCATTATAGCACAGCTTCTCTCAGCCAGGCATACTGTTTGCTTATTTTGAACCCTCTTGTTACCATAGGTTCCTTCTACACTTGGCGGACAAGACTGGGGGTATAATTGTAACAAATGATAACTTCAGAGAATTTGTGACTGAGTCAGTGTCCTGGAGAGAAATTATTACAAAAAGGTAATCTTTTCTTCTTTGCTTTGATCAGAAGTTTGTTGTTTGCTTCTTGTTTGCATTGTATCTGACTGCTGCTTGCCAGGATGGTGGGTCCAGGAAAGGGTGATGGTGGGCATCCTAAGAGTACCTGCAAGATTGGACCCCAAGCCATCTGAAGTGTCAGTCTGGAGCACTGCGACTCCAACAAGCGCACGGGACAAAAGCAAGATGCTGAGGGAGGGCGGCACCTAACCTAACGGGGTACTGGGGTGAGCCTAGTTTCAATGTCTGGTGTTTTCCATGAGTTTAGCACACAGCTTTTCTTGTTGCTGGTGCTGTGAATGTGTTCAGTTGCTGACCTACTGAGGAGCAGTGAATACTGGATTCCATGAGCCACCAGAAGCCTTGCCCAATGGAGCAGCTGCTTCACACAAGAAGCAGACGTGCTGTGCCGTGGTTCCAGGGATAAGACAGATATGCAATAGATCTGAACCATCAGGCGGATGTGCAGGGGCAGTGTGGACTAGATACCTAGACATCTAGACACCCATTTCTGCTGGATTTCACAGTTGGCCCTTGTCTGTTACTTAGAGCTTGCTACATCCTGACAGGAGTTTTGAAAGAGCCAGTGGACTGATGAGATGTGCCAAGCCTGAGAGCCTGGGATCAATCCCCAGAACCACACCAGAGGAAGAGAGAGCCAAAGTTGCAGGCACACAAATAAGTGAACAGTATAGCTTCACATTTCTAAACAAAACAGAACACTTAACTACAACTCAGGATGAAAATGAATACTTCCTACATTTTCAGCTCTATGTTGCTAAAAGGGTCTTGGTGATCGGTTGAGGAGAGTTGATCTTTGACTAGTGGGCACAGTTGATGAATCGTTAAACTTCTTGAACACTGGTGTGTGTTAACACAAGTCTGCACACGAGGAGACTCAAACCAACCCACTGCTCTCAGAGCTCACAGAAGCAACTCTGAAACCAGAATGTGCACCACAGACAGACACTAGGGTTCTTACTTAATTTAGTTTCATGTATTCATCTATTTGAGACAGGAGCCCACTATGTAGCTCTGGCAGGCTCCACCTCTCCTGCCTCTGGCATACCAGGATTAAAGGCATGTACTACCATGCCCAGTGAGTTCTTTATTTCTTGTGTCTGTAGGTGCTAGATCACCCCCCCCCCCATGGCCACTGGTGTGCCCGACAAGACTTTCCTGCTGAGCAGGCCCCTTGTCCTTGATGAGTAATGCTGGATCAACCTTGGTGTCTCTTTTAAGACTCAGACTTTGCCTATGAACACATTTGTTTCCACTTTCACTCTGTGGCACCCCTGCTGCACCCCAAGCAGAATGTCTTTCATCGTATTTTCTCATGTGGTAGAAAATACCTGGCTGGCACCTGGATGACATTTGTGACCAGCTGAGAAAAGCTTCTTGCTTGACTGTGTCCACAGCAGAAGTTAAAACGGTTTCACTTGCATGTGGGGTTGTTTTCCCTTGGGGCAGTTAGCAGTCAGAATTTTTAGACTGACCATTGTCTCAAAATGGGTGGCTCCTTTGAGAAATGTTCCCTTTCCTACAGCAGTGAAGAGTACTAATTGTCAGCACTGTGACTTTGTGTTGTAGACTGCTTCAGTACACGTTCGTGGGGGACATATTTATGGTTCCTGATGACCCCCTGGGAAGAAACGGACCTCGGCTAGAAGAATTTCTCCGAAAGGAGGTCTTTCTTAGGTATTTCTGTGTATTCCCTCATGTGTTAAAATTTTTTGTTTTAACCAAATGCTGTGCTTTGGAACAAATGCTGTCCTTGAAAATTAGAAATGGCATTTGATTTTTTTTTAAGACTTAATCAGACTTAGCAATATGTGGCTGATGTGAAAGCCAGTCAGTAAGTACCGCAGGCTAATCTTCAGGGTGACCTTTTCAGTTCTGTTTTGCCTGCCCACCTGCTTGCCTTAGACTGTTTCCTCTGTGTCAGCAGGCTGAGCTCAAACTTGGATCCTGCTGCCTCTGCCTCCTGTTCTGGGGCCTAGGCCTGCCCTGTGTGGGGCTCCTTTACATTTTAACCCTGAGAGAGCACAGACAGTCCTGAGGCTCGCTCTCAGAAGAAACTGGTTTTCAAGCTGCTGATAACTTGTCAGTCACTGCGGCCTGGATTCTCTGTGTGGGGTACTTTCCCATGCACTTTCTGCAGTGTTTTGAGTGTGCAGTACTGAATAAACTTTGTGTCCTGCTCAGAGATCCCTATGGGGTGGGGCGGGGGCTGACAGTTACTGTTTACCATCACTGAATGGGAAAGCCTACTTGCTGTCTGACATTGACTGACAAGTAGAGGTTATTTCTGTGTTCAGACCTGCAGCCTCCTTCATGCTACCCAGTGGCAGACCTTCTCTGTTTTAAAACCAAAATAAGCTCTATTTCTGTGGACCTCCTGGCAGGTTTTTGCATGGGGTTGGTCTGGGTACCCAAAAGGAGAAGGCATACTCTCTCCCATCTTTCAAGGCTGCTAATCGCTCATTTGTAGCATGAGCCTTTGGGACCACCAGTTTGAACCTGGCAGTGCACCAAGGTGGGTTGATTTTTCATCCAGGGATCTTCTGTAATGGAGACCAGCACACTCTGAGCTTCCTGATCTTTTTTTCATCTCTCTGTGAGCTTTTGGGTTTTATCACACACTCGAGGTGTTGACTCAGGCGGGGTTAATCTGTCCATACCGAAGAAATGTCCACCTGTGGTACACTTGTCCAGCTCACCCCCAAGTCCCACATCTTACATTGGAAATCCTCATAGCATTTTAGGCCTCAAGGCCTGTGTTTGAGGCTGTATGTGGGCTCCATGCTGAGCCAAGGCCCAGGTCAAGCTAAAGGTGGATTCTTTGCTACCTTGTAGCCTGGTGGCGGGATCAGCCCTGATGGCCATTTTCCATCTCACCTAGTGTCATCTTGAAAGTGCTTGGTGGCCACTTGGGGCCAGTCCTTCATGAGGGGATGCTGTTAAGGGAATGGTGCTTTTGCAGGCTGTTGGACTTCTAAAGTTGATGGCACTGTTGGCCCCACTTCTCAACTGCAGCTAGAAGCACTTTGAGTGCTTAAGCAGGACAGATGTCCCCTGGATGCACATTCAACACCATGTGCGTATGCATTTCGAGTACCCAGGCCTCACTGGAGACGGATTCCCTGAGCCTGTTGGAGTTGCCTCTTTGCCCAGAGGCAGGCCTCTCCCAGTTCTGTCAGCTGATACTGCCCAGAATAAAAGCCTCCAGAAGAGTAGGAACCTTGCAGAACCAACAGCTGTAGCCTGCCCTCAGACAGGAGACTGGAGATGGGACTGTCTGCCCCAGGGGTGCTCGTTCCCTCATGGGTCTGGAAATGGTGCCGGGTGCCCTACCGACCACTCTGTGGGAGCTGATTTCACCACCCCATGACTCTCTGGCCTCTGGCCTTCAGAAATCATGGAACTAGCTAACACATAGACTCTCAGTGTTAGCCATGTGTGCTTTAAAAGGGTTTCTTACTGCTTCTCTCACCACGACTCACTTCATCCACAGAGACATGCAGCCGCTGCTCAATGTCCTGCCAAATGTGGGCACGTTTGACCCTGGCTTCCGGAGCCCCAGCACCCAGATAGCCAACACCAGTCACCAGCCTCCATCCCGGAACCAGGGAGCCTCTTCAGGCCCTTGGCTTCCTCAGCAGCCTCACTTTACACCCCTGGCCACCCTTCCCAGTATACAGCAGAACCTTCCCATGCCGGCACAGAGATCCTCTGCAGAGACCAGCGAGCTGAGGGAGGCCCTGCTGAAGATCTTCCCTGACTCTGAGCAAAAACTGAAGATTGACCAGATCCTGGTGGCTCATCCGTACATGAAAGACCTGAACGCCCTTTCTGCCCTGGTATTGGACTGAAGGCTGGACTGAGAGCCCACTGCTGGTGGGGACCAGAGGGCGCTGCCAACCGTGGGAAGTCCCTAGTGGGAAGACGCTGCCCCAGAGTGAACATTGTGTGCTGGGTAGGAAAAGGAGGAGGATAGGTGTTTTGTACATACAAAAATCTGGATTTTCAAAGCCAGCTTTTTTCTATATATAAATTATGCTGCTATTACAGATTTAACATTTTCTGTAAAAGGAAAGTACATTTTCTGCCTGTTCAGAACTGTTTAATAGCAGTCACTCTTGAGTGTATTTACAATTTTATGTTTTTTAAACTATTTTCCTTAAAGCTGAAGAAAAATTGACAAATGAATATGGTTAGCCTTTCTAAATAAAATTTAAAAAGAAAAAAAAGGGGGGGTGGTTGCTTCCTTAAGGAAAGCAAGACCTCTTAAAGTATATATTTTCTTGAGGTGATCTGTCCTGTCCACTCACACGGTGTATGTCCCCTGCCGTCCTCCCCGAGCTGACCTGCTCTGCTCTTGTGGGTCTTCTCAGCAGGCATTTGTGCCAGTGGAGAAGTGGGGCCACTAGATGGCACTTGGTGCCTGGATGCCATCAGTGACAAGACAGTCAGACTCAGAAGAGCAGGGGAGAAGCTGAGTCCATTCAGCCCTACCCTCTTCCTCTCCGCCAGACAGAGAAGGGCACTAAATCCCAGCGTTCTCCCTGACTGGCTTAGCTCCTTAATGCACTCACCAGCCAAGGCCGCCGTGCTCCCAGCCTGACTCCACAGCTACCAGAGCCTCAGAAGGTGAGGTAGGTTTGGAGAGTCTGCTGAGGAGTCCCTTACTGTGGCCAGCATGAGTCCACAGCCCACAAGTATGGGAAAGACCCCCATGTGGAGTTTGTACAGCTCTGCCAAAAAGTTTTCTATTCTCAAGGATGACCCAAGCCAATAAATAGCATTAGTAGTTTCAGAAGGGGTATTAAAGCCCCCCATTTCCCTCTTTTGTCTTTTTAGAGGTTTCTTAGCAGCTCTTCCTGGGTGTTTCAGAACCGGCTATCCCAGTACTGTCTCTTCTCAGTGTAGCTTGAATTCTGTGTCTGTGAGACTTTTCCTGGTCATTCTTAGCATCTTGACTCTCACCTGGACCTTTAAAGGGCTTCGTGTTTTCCACCCGTGCTGTCTCCCAGCCCTCATGGTCAGTTCTGCTGCCCTGTGAATTGTGTCTTTCTCCTGGTCCCATGAGTAGTAACGGAGGACTTGGTGCTGGTTTGTTCTCTTGGTGCAGGGACTGTGTAGATCACAGGACGCTGTCACCCTGTGTGTATCTTGGTTTCATTTGATTCCTGCGTCCTTCAGGAGACGCACACAGAGCTCTCTAGGTGGCCACATTTGTACTTCAGTCGTGATCTCCTGAATTCTTGGATGATGCAACCTGCTAGGGAGCTGTTTGTCATCTATCACTTGGGGGTTGAGACCTGCAGGCTGTACAAGTAGAAAACAAAGACTTTTGGCAAGGTCTAGGAGTAGACCCACCACAGCCCCCCACCCTGGGCCCAGCTTCAAAGTATAGCAAAGGTGCCAAGGTGGGACTGTCCCCGGGGCCTCCTGGTCTCCTCAGTCCAGTCCAGTGCTCCTGGGAACCAGGAGAACCAGGGTGCTCCACAGTTGCCTCATCCTGATGAGGAAGGAGCAGGAGACTTCTAAGGCTCTACAGGCAGCCTGTCTTTGAGTTGTGTGAGCCTTTGTGTTCTTAGTATTGTTTCTGAGATACCTGCCCGTTTCCCCTTTCTCCATATACAAGAGAAGAAAAGGTTGGAGGAAACGGAGAGGCATTAATTACTTTGTAGATTATAATGTGAAATATATAATTCTGGATTCTTTGTGAAATCCATCACATTTAGGTGTAGCATTTATCCAGCCACTAAAGGAAGCTCACGACCTGCTTCTCTGCCTCATCCCAAGCTCTGTTGCTGCTAGGTGCTTATAGATGCCCAACCTCCATCCCTCAGTGCCTCCACAGTGAAGTTTGGAGTGTCTTAGAATTCCTCCCTATGCGAGTGCCTCTGCCTTCTGTGTATCCTGACATTTGGGTGAGGTGGTCAGCGCAGCTAAGGCAGATACTTTTGGCCGTTACTCAAGGTGTTGGATGCTTACAGAGGTTGAAAGGATAAGTAGCTAGTGTAACTGATGAACGTCCAGCCTCTGTGCACGTGCATGTGTGCTGCCACAGCTGTCCTGGTGCAGCTGTGGCAGCATTGTTGGCAGGCTTGGCTGTGTTTCTGGGAGTCGCTGTGAGGCAGGATGGAACTGTGTTTATATAGTCTTGTAAATGTGTAAGGCAAGAAAGAGGTCTCTACCCATTCTTGCCACTGCCAAGTACCTAGCCCCTCGTGGGGTAGGGGCAACCGCTGCAGATTCTGTGCCCTCTGCACCAGGCTTACCCAGGCCCTAGCCTGCCTCCCACATCTCTTCTGATGCTGCCCCATCGTCAACATTCTGAGCCATCTCAGCTGGCTCCGTCGCTTGCACTGCTCACCTGCATTACCACCTCCCTGTCACTCCCCAGGTACCTTTGATCCTTGAAGTTAAAGCCCCCTGCATTTTGTTGCTAATGCTTTACTCCACCTTCCCACTTTTTCCCTCCCCAGTTTACAAACCTGGCTTCTCTCCACTACTGGGAGTAGCCTGGGAAATCACTGGTTGCTGTATCATTTTTACTGTAGTAGCTACAGACAGTGAGGCCATTGGCCTTATTTCATCTATTTTCCTTCTAGAGGTTCTTCATTCTTCTTCTTCTTCTTTTTTTTTTTTTTTTTTTTTTTTTTTTTGGTTTTATGAGACAGGGTTTCTCTGTATTGTTTTGGAGGCTATTGGTCCAGCCTGGCCTCGAACTCACAGAGATCCCCCTGCCTCTGCCTCCCGAGTGCTGGGATTAAAGGCATGCGCCACCGCCGGGCTTCATTCTTTCTTCTTGAAGGCCAGTCCTTCATATAGTTTCTCCTCAACAGGTGGTTCTCAAAGCAGGCCACCCTTAGGCCTCACAGCCAAAAGGGCAGCCCTTGCTAAAATGCAGGTTATCAGGGACCACCCTGAGGCATGGCCTCTGCTCTGGAGGGAAGTCCAGAGGCTTGTCACTTTCAGTTAGTAGTCTGGAACTACATTTTGAGTGGCTGCTCTTATTCTAGGAGTCACCACTCTTTCCTAGTGCCACCATCTGCTATGGTGACACCAATCCTGTTACCAGCCCTGTGGGATCTTGGTTCCCAGAACCTCAGCCTCCATTCTGCCATCTTCTCTCGCCTACCCTGAGAGTCCCGTATCTACCTGTTGGCCCTTGGATTGCTACTGTCCACCACTTCCCGCAATCACCCATGACCCTGGGCCCTCAACACTAGACCACTTTACAGCTCTCCTCTCCCAGACTCCACAGGGCTCCAGGTTCATCTAGAAGACCATTTTCCATCATCATTTTCTTCTTCCGTGGTCTTCTACAGCTGCGCCCAGAGCATCAAGTTCCTACCCTCTGAGCCTAGTGTCCATGGCTGTTGTGCCGCACTTAACTGTCCCCCGCCATGATGCTCACTCCAGCCACCCAGACCTGGGCTCCCAATGGGCCCTGTCCATGCTTATTTCTCTCCTAGAATGCCCCTCTGCCCTACGGCCCCGCCCCAGGCTCGGTCCTGAGTGGTCTTTGTGCTCTGAACAGAAGCACCCTGTGGTGCTCTGTGACCCCACAGCACTTGGTGTCTCGCTTCTGGCTCTTGCCACTCTGGCAGGTGTAGCTGCAGCCAACTGTGTACTGTGTTGCCTCCCTCTAGACTGTGAGCTCCTCGCGGGCAGGGACCATATGGTCACTCTGTATCTCCTGTGGCACCTAACAGTGCCTTGCACTTGGTAGGTGCTCAATAAATGTCTGTTAAGTGAACTGGAGGACGGTGCCTTCTTGACTGTGGCTTCAGCAGCAGGTCCCTGGAGGAACCTTGGTGATCATTTTCACAGATATTACCCACCTCTGTTAGGGTTGGGGGTGGGCTTGCTTGTCTGATTCACTCTGCCCCCTTCCCTTAGAGCCTCGGCACATGCTGTTCTGGGCACAGTTGCCCACACCTGGAATCCTGACCAGATAGAGCCGTCCAAAGCAGAGCGTTGGCTTAGGCCACACCCACCAATCTTCCTCTGGGATTTTCCCCATAGTGGGTAGGAGCCCTGAGGTGATCCACCCACTACCATTAACACCATGTTCTGCCATGGGAAAGAAACATGAACAAGATACTCCTGGCCCTGAGTTCTGAGCTCCCTTTGTCACCAGGCCCAGTATTCTCTAAGTGTACCCTGTTGCTGAAGCAGTTTCATGATGGGCTTAATCCCTTGAAATCAGGCCTCTACCTTGAGTGAAGCGCCTCACTGTACTTAGAGCATGGCAGAGTAGATGGGAGCTATCCAGCTGAGGTTACTGGTGAGAGCCTCCGTACTTTGCTCCATGGGTTGTGAGAACTAAAAACAATTCAGGTTTCCATTCTTCAGACACATGGTGCTGCCAGGACCAGGCATGACTTCTAGGGAAGCAGCTGAACCAAAGTCCTCCAGCCAGTGCCGGAGATGCAGCCCGGGGGCTGGACTCACCCCTCCCGCCTCCTCCTGTTTGGTGGCTTTCGCTCCATATCACAGGACTGTCCACAGCAGACTGCAGCTTCTAGGGTTTTGCTTGCCATCTCCTTCCAGGTCCCCAGCTAGCCCTGCTCAGCCATACAGTCTGGAGCCCAGTCTGGGGTCAGACCCATCCTTCATCACTTCTAGCAAAGGAATCAGACCTGCACTGCTCTGACGCCTGTCCCGGATCAGGCTCAAGTGGCAGCCACCCAAACAGGCAGCAGGAAGAAGGGTCCTCCTGAGTGGCCCACAGGAGCTGAAAACAAGGCTGTGTGTTCAGGGCTTCCCCATCCACAGCGGCTATATCAAGTCACCTGGGCCCTCTGAAAAGGGTGGACACCCACAGGAAATAGCCCCAGTACCATCTCCCATCTGGAGACTTCTGGGTCCCTTCTACCCAGAAGAAACCACAGAGACGATGGTGGAGGAAGGAAGGAGGCAGCCATAGTGACCCTAGGGTGAGTGTGTAGGCCCTAGGCTAACACACCTAGTGCTGTGTGACCTTGAGAAGTTCTGCAGTCTCTTTGGAAGGCTCTATGCTACTGTCTGTGGAAGACTTGATGACACGGATACTGTTGTCTGCCCCCACGTGCCCTCAGAGGTGAACACCACTGCCCTACTGAAGTGTTACTGCAAGCTATTGTGGCCGTGCATAGCTGAGATCATGTACTTGAGCAGCTGAGGCAGGGGGATTGCCTCAGGTTTGGGGCCAGGCTGGACTATTTTGTGAGTCTATCTCAAAAGAAAGAAGGGAAGGGCAATGCAGAGGACTGAGTGTCAAGCCTTGATGCTGGCCTCA